AAAGGGTTCGACAAGGTAGCAAAAATTTAATATAAGAACTCATTCGAAATTATATAAAATGCTTCATGACTACCTAAAAATAAAATTGAACTAAATAATCAGCACAGGCTCTTTCTTTGCGATCCGATTTCCTTGTTTCGTTTGTAAATAGAACTCAAATATTATGTTTCATGAAATTCTTATTCCCAAAATCATTAATCCCCAATATTCCCAAAAAATCTGCTGATTCATGATTTTAATAACTTAAGTTTCTTAGTTTCATATTAAATCGCAAGAAGTTCAGTTGATTGCTTTACTGGATATGGGCAAAACTTTAAATACGGTCCATAATAAAAGTATAGTTACTAACAGTTATAGTTGCTAATAGTTAACAAATGGAGAGGAGCCAGTACACCCAGTACAAATCGATAAGTTAATAGAGAGGAGAAGTACCCACTCATGATAAACTGATAGTTTCCTAAAAATAGCTTATTACCGTTTCACTATCATGGAGAAATGTGTTTCCGTTCAAAACTGGACATGTGAAATATTGTGCCATGATAATACCTCCCTTATTGTATGCAATGCTGTCGGTAAAAAGATTAAGCAAAAAAAAAAACAAAATATTCAAATTGCATATATGTAGGTGTTAGTGTAGATATTCCAAAAATGTTAAAATCAAGGTAAAATTTATATGCTTTTAATATGATGGCTAGATGAAATTTATCATTAGTTATTTTAAAGTTTTTGATTCATTTTCAAGGATAAAGAAAAATATATTATTTTCGGTATACGTGTATAAATATATCAAAATTATGTAAGTATATGTGTACGTTTGATAATGATTGTTTCATAGAAATTGAATTTTTTTTGTCAAAGTTTTGCTTTCTTTTTGAAGCTATTTTCATTTCAAGGATGTTCGTTAAAAAAAAAATGAATAAAAATATTTTAAAAATAATTAAAAATTTTTGATTTTTATTATACATAGCTTGTCTAATACTAAAAGCTGTTTTTTATAAAAAGTGCTAGATTTTTTTGTTCACTAAATTAAAATTTTTGCAAAAAAAATCTAATATATTGAATTTTGTAAAGATTTATGGCATTAATATTGTGGTAATAAATTCAAATTTTTAATTTTACGGATGTATGGGCATTTGTAAAATCATGGAATATTATGATTCAAATACACACATGTATTTTTTGGTTACTTTAAAAGACAACTTGGAAAATTCTTTGAGACAACTTAAGGTAGACGAATATACCAGCATAATCTAATTTTCTCATTAATTCATTTTGTAATTTAAATTTTTTAACAAAGAATTGAATTTTTGCATTTTATCTCAAATTATCGACTGAACGTCTCACTTCCAAAAACAAAATGAATAAATTTTGTATGCATTTTAGAAAAAACGAGATACGGAATATAAAACAATTTTTCTCACTCGAAAATTACATGCAAATAATAGTTGGTCATTTTCTTCTCACTTTTCGAGTGAAATAGCGAGGTAGAAAATCAAGTCCTTAAATTTCAGTTCGATTGCGACAGCAGGTCAAGTATTGCCGTACAATTTTAAATTGTACACAATAAAATGTTAGAAGCACTATAATGACTATTAAATAGTATGATAATAATAACTATACGAATTAGTTAAAATTGTTTGTAGATTAATGTAATAATTTTTAAGAATAGGAAGAGTATGATGCGAAGTGCCTTATGTTCGAAGGGTATGCTAAATTTGCCTTACCGTTTGAAACGCTAAGAAATAACAGTCTTAGATATAGACTCAAATGTATGTTTTTGTTCAGTGTGAAATTCTGAGTTGATTTAACTTTGTCCGTCAGTCCGCCCGCCCGTCCGTACGTCGCAACGATAACTCAAAAATTAATTGAGCTAAGTTCACTAAATTTTGACAAATGATTTATTGTAGTAAGTGCCAGAACCCTATTTTAATTGGACATGGTCAGGGTACCGGTTCGGGTAGCTGCCATAAAACTTCAAAATTTATTTGGCTATATCTCAGAAACTATATATATTAGTATATATATATATAATACAAACGAATATATTAGTAGGGCCGATGTGCTTGATAAAATTCGTTAAAATTTCTTGGCGCTTTCTGGTAGTTGCCATACAACTTCAATAGTAGTTTGGCACACACAGCATTTTGAAAAACACAGTACTGAAATTTTGCATACATTAATATAGTAATACGGCAACTTAAAGTCATAGTCTGTCTCATAGTCAGTTATGGCATCTTTATTCGCATATAGGATACCAAATTCGTATGGGTATCACAGAGTTGACATTGTCAACTCTATTTTGTTTCGCTTTAATTAAATTTATTTTCTTTGCGTATTATTTTATTCTAAAAAAATTTAAAAAATAAATTGAAAACTCAATGTCACATATGCATTTTGGTTCACAAATAACTTTAAAAATTAATAAAGCTTTTTGATATTATTAATGCGATTCCCGAACTTAAGTTAAAAAACAGGTTTTCAAGTACAACCGCACTTGCATTAGAAATAACTTTAAGAATAACAAATTTATTGATGGATAGTGCCCGAAAATTTTAACATTTGGGAGGGCATTTAATAACTGCAGACATCCCACTCAAATCGAAATTAATCTACAAACTATATAAAATTTTCTATAAAAAATGCTATTGCAACTAAATATTTACTGATATTGTCCCTAATTTCCACAACTGTCTATAATTGACAAATAACTGTATCTACCTATACTTTAGGTAAATTGTTCATTTTACACAAAATATACACAAGCTTCTATTCCAAAATTCTCAGATTTCTTTTTAAAAATATTCTTAATTAAAGATTAGTTCTCAATAACTTTTCTCAATTTTGCATTTTTAAGAATTTTTGATTTTAAATTAATCAGTTTTTATCAGTTTGTTTGAGTTCTCTTTTAATTTAACATCGACCATAATCTGAATTTTTAAAATAAATTGATTATGATTTTTGATTCTATAAAATAAATACAAAATCTTCGATTAATTACAGTAATAGCTATAAGAAATCCATTTTAAAAGTTATTTAACTTTGTATTTAGAAAATTTTCAATTTATCAAATTATTTACTTTTGAATTCAATAAACACTGAAAGGAAAAAGCTACTTTAAACTTATATTTTTAAGAGGATTAAAACAAAAATATAAATCTTATGAGTTGCAATTAAGGATAAATGACAATATTGAAACTAAAAAGATGAAACGAAAATACGAAACTGTTAAAATAAAAAAAAAAGTCTCAACACTTTATAGTTCGAAAATTTTCTAGAAAATTACTACTTTTCCTTGAATCATCAAAACTATCTATCATCAACGATCATTTAAAATTTTCTTTTTAATAAAATTTCATTATCCTTGATACTCGTATAACTGTGGTTTTAATAAATTTTTATCATTCAATGGTTGATGTGGTTAACATTATCTTATACATATATATGTTCTTATACGTATGTATGTTTTTGGGTAAGTATAACATGTGGTATAAATATAAAAAACTATATTATGGTATTGAATAAAATGAGCTAATTATAATTAATGCTTTCAGAACTATAAGAATATTTTGTACACCTTTATAGGATTTTGAGAGTTATTTGAATTCAACAAATAATTGAATGTAAAAGTTGTTTTGCAAATATTCATATTCCCTTTTACATTTCTACCACTTTACACTACAATCAAAGCGCAAACAGCACGGGTACTTCAAGCTACCAGGCATATTATTATTATGATTGTTCTGGACTGAATGTTTCCTATTAAAATTAAACAAATTAGTTTAATCTGAACACATTAGATGATTTTAATATAACTTCTAAAACAATTTGTTCACAAGCAATTTCTCTTCAAGAAATTTTGATATCTAAATAAAGTTTTGCATATGGTTACTTCTTGCAAAAAAAAATATATGTTCTAGCTGTCGAAATTTAGCAGTTGTCTTAAGAAATCCACTATCTATTCCAAAAATTATTAGCTGTTAGTTTTTTGTGTCTTCTATGAAAGAAAATTGAAATGCTTGTAAGGTACATGAGTCAGTTATAATGCACCACACTTGTTTACGAATTTTTCACTAATAAAAGAGAAAAAGACTGTACAAAATTAATAATACAAAGAAAAATAATAAAAAAAAAAGGTTAAGTTGAAATGGAAAAATAAAAGTTGACAAAAATTTTTCTTTTTCTACAGCAATAAGCCAAGATCCTGATAAAAACTTATGCATTTGATAATTTGTTTTTATTTTTCTTTTTCTTCTTTACACCCGTACGAAAGAATTTTCGAAAGGTATTATAAATTGACCACTCCATTTCTGAGATATTTTAGATTTAATGATTTTAATCAGAGCTGGTGTCTGATTCGATTTGGTGATGTAATACCTCATCAAGCTATTTTAATCAAATTTCCATCAATTAAAGAGATTTGTTATCAATTTGAGTTCAATTTAATTTGAGTTCAAACAAAGCAATTATTCGAATAGTTCGCATGCAACTCTAAAATTTATTTGCTCATATTATTCAGGATATGTAGAGCTAAGAGTACAAAAAATTTTGAGTAAATGAATGGAATAACAATTGCTCTATTGCATTGGGATTTGATTGTGGTTGAATATATTCTCAAAATAGATGCCATAAGTAATTTGATCATAATATCTCGGAAGCTATAAAACGTACATATAATATTCAAATTTGGTATAAAAGGGTAGAATAATGATAGAGCCACAATTCTAGTAATATTTGATTTCAGTTTTATAAGTTCTTAAAATAATAGCAGTTACACAAATTTAAAAATGGGTTTCCTAATTTAGCAATAGAACGATAAAATAGCAATAAATTCTGTAAAATGTTAGCACCGATTTTTTTTTGAGAAAGAGTAAAGTAGATTTTGAAAAACATTCAAACAGCTATCACAGAGTTGACATGTTCAACTCTATTTTTTCTCATTTTGCTTAAATTCTTTTTATAAATTATTTTTTTTTAATATATATTTTTTTTTTATTTTTTACCTTGTCCTGATGATACCAAAAGATATGAGTTGGTGGTTCTGGACTAAATTTTATAGCACATGTCAGATTAATGGTACTTCCTTTATCCACATATAGATCCGGTCCACCAAGAATTGTAGCCGTTGGCACTATGAAAAGAAAAAAAAATTAAAATCGTAATAATAATATTGTATATAGTTAAAATGAATAAAAAGGATAGAAAATTATATAATATAAAATAAAGGATAAAAGAGGTGACATAAAAACACTCTCATAAGGATATTTTTTTAGTTTTTCATATTAAATTTTAAGACTGCACTCTATATGGGGTACACAGCTTTTAAATACCTTTTTACTTTTTAATATTAAAAGAAAACAAAAAATAAAATAATAGTAAAAATTTCATAACTAGTTCTAGGATTTTTCATTCTCATCAATATGTTACATATATTAGCTGTTATATGGTATGTAAAAAAATATCACAGTATCGGATTTAATAATTATTGTATGAGTGTCATTATTTTATCGGACTAGTAATAATTGTATTTGATTTATGTAGTAATACCTATCCCTATATAACAATTATACTTGTATTATAGCAATCGTACTAATGTAGAGCATTATAATTAAGTTTGTAAAATTATTTAATTGCCATTAAAATTATTTTGAAGTTTGAAAAATGTCCCAAAACAAATATCGTTTAGTAGGTATGAAGCACTTTTACAAATAAAAATTTCTTGGTTCGAAAAATGGAAAATTTGAAGTTCCTTTTAAAAAAAAAATATTTTGTTTTCGGTTTTTTATTGGTTGCGTTTATTCGGTTTCATAAACACGCCCTCGAAAGTGATTCAATAAAGTATTTCTTTATTTATATTAATTTAATGAAAATTTCTTCGTACAACTGCAGAACAGATGAATGACGTAATCAGAAGAACGAGTTAAAGGCAGAAAAATTAAAAAATTTTTCTCCTCGAACTGGATTCGAACCAGTGACCTACCGTTTTCTATTTCTTTATTTTTGAAAACATGTGCTCGAAATGCTTACGACAGTCGACACGATTATTGAAATCATTTGAAAAATTTTGTCCATTCCAAATATTTCGAATTAGCCACCAATAACTTCCTTTATAATAAAAAATCCGACACTGTGATTATATGATTAAATAGAAGATTTTTTATTTCGATTTTATATAGAGGAAATATTAAAGACATTAATAATAAATATAAATTGTTATTAGTAAGTTTAGTTTTATTTCATATTTAATTTATTATTATTGTTTTAATATTGTACGTAATGAAAAAAAAATCAAACAAACATACAATTTTATTAGTTTTGAAGTATAGTGAGAAAACAAAATTACTGTTATTATCACGATTATTGTATGATTATTGTTTTAGAAACAACAATTTTTTCTGTTAATTTTCTATACTATAAAATATAATAAAAGAATAAAGCGGTTTAAAGTTTTAATTAAAATGAATGTATGTAATTGAAAGAATTGTAATTAATACTGAATACCATTCATTCCCATTTTTTTTATATTATATACTCTCTATATATTTCTATATTATATTCTATAGTATAGAATCTATACTATAAACTGTACTCGTATATATAGAGAGAATTTAGGTTATATTAAAATGTTGCTACATATTGGTATTAAACACAATTGAGACTCAAAAAAAAAACAAAGTTTAACATTAAAGTGGGTGACAACCATATTATTTAAAAAGGTTAACAATAATTATTTAAGTTTTAAAACTTTCATTATTATTTCAAAGGAAATATTTTCTAAAAAAAAAAAGAGAAAAAGTTTAAATTGATTGTCGGAAGAGCGAAATATTCTATTTAATTTTAACTAAGTACACATTTTGTATGATATTTGTAACGTGAATCTTCTCATGTATGACTTTTGTAATACCAATAAAGAAGGAATAAAGTTTTATGGAGACTTAAAGTTGTCACAAGATTGTTAATCGAAATATCAGTATATTAAATTAAATAACATTCTATTTTGTAAAATTATCAACACTAAGCCCTTTCTTTGCAGAGAAAGAAATTGCTAAAATTTGAAAGTTCGGAAACTTGTAACTATTTTTAAAATATGATTTTCTTAAAAATAACTGTTTTATTCATAAATTTTTCATAATATTCAATTAGATAGTAGATTTGTTACCAAGTTTAATAATACAACCCATTTTATAAGAGGATCTATTATGTCCGGAAACAGTTTTCACTCATTAAACATTGAAGCTTTATGAAAATCAGTATTCTCCACAGCTCTTTTGAGTTATAAGTTGAAATATAGTTTTTATGAAGCAGCTCTTTCCTCCTTGAAAGGAATATCTCAAAGTTGGTTTGATACACTCAAAATATTTTCTAGTATATAGTAACTATTATATTTGAGAATAGAATTCTTAATTTTATTGTGGTATAGTTGGAAAATGAAGGTAAAAACAATACTATGACAAAATGTTGGAAATGGTAGTTTAATTAAAAATGATTATCTATTAGAAAAGTTCAACATTTTAAAGCTCTTAAAATGGCAATTAAAACTTTTTGTACTTTTGATAAAAATTTTAATTTCAACTTTTTTCACTAAATGAAAGTTATTAAATTAATTGTTTTTCCATACTATATTTAAACAAATTGAACAACTATATGTGCACTTTATAAGAGAATTTTAAGGAGAATTGAAAATTTTTATAATTTAATTGAGTGTAATAACACTTTAGGTGTTACATAAAAATCACATATTTTGAATATTTATTTGACCATTGTGAATCTTTATTGTTTTTACTATTCTTATAGTTATTTAAATTTTTCCCGATATATTTGCTTTATGCAAGTTGCTTTACAACGGTTCAGCTTTTTCAAAACAACTGAAAATTTTTTAATAAAGGATTCACATTAAGTCTTTAAATTCTTTAAAGTGGTTATTCAGGGACATATAATTGAAAAAATCTTAATTGTCCTTCCATTTTATGTGTGAAAATTGATCCCATGTTCATAGCTGTAATATGCTTCCAAAACCCTCTTGCACTATCACGAAGGTAAATTTCCAAACAGTAATTCGGTGCTTCAATAGCATAGGATAATAAAAATTCAATTTTTGTCCTTTTTTGGCTTGGTTTTAAATTTTAATAAACGCGTTTTGATTATTGATGATCGAATTGAAGGACTCCTGTCCGGTTCACTGTTCCATTTTGCTTTGCCTTTGTTTAAAGCTCATTCTAAATTAATTATGGTGTAATAATTACAAACTATTTTAATAGAATTTATTCAAATATTGTTTTTTTTATTGGTGTTAGATGTCATTTCGATGTCACTTTAAATCAATCGAAATGTTCAAGTAATGAAATAACATCAGTTTAAATGGAGGATGTTGTGTGAACCTCCCCTTCAATTACATGTTTTACAATAGCTAAGCACTAATGTATAAAAGAATTAATAAGAAAAATTAATTATTAATAAGCAATCTTTTTCATATTTTTTTTTCGTGATTTATTAGTAAGAAAACAAAGCACACGTACACGCTTTTTTGAAATTAGTATAGGCAATTTAAAACTCAACACGACTATTTAAAAAAATTTTACAGACCAGCTATAGTTCTCATTGGAAATAATCCAGCAAATTCATCATTACTACGTTCATAAAAACGATCTGAACTAATATGAAATGCATCATCACTGTAATATTGTTGCAGAAGATTATCTGTATCGATTATAATTGAATCTAAAAATATTTAAATTATTCTTATGAAACATACAGTATGCAAATAAAAATTATTGTAAATTTAATAAAATTAATTTAAATTATATTTAAAAATTCTATTAATAGCGGTAAGACTATTATCGTTAATAAATTGCACAGATGTCCAAAAGATATGGAAAAGTATTTGGATGAAAATTTGAATTAAAGTCTTGTTGAAGAAATTCGCTTGGTGTGCCATGCAAATCTGGTATTGTTACTCATATGTGCTATTCCATTACAATATTATTGAGTTTTCTTGCATGTGGGAGAAAATGTTTTTAGATATTTCATTGCCAAAAACAAATTTTTTTTTATAACAAGCACTCATGTTTCTTTTTCTTGAGTTTCAATCCATAAAAGTTGCGTATGATGTAATGGTTTGTCCTTAAAATTTATTCTTGGCCTAATTTGCAAACTCTCACCTTATGAAACTGGATATACAAGGAACTTCAGAAACAAATTTGCAGCAAACTCGAATGATGAATTATTATAGAGAATCTAAAGTTTTATGAATATACATCAACAAAATTTGAATTATCTAACGCTATTTAACATTATTTTGGCTTTTTTGAAGTTCCAATTTTAACGATATTCCATTAAGTTCATAAAAAAAAGTAGTACAAAGCACATATTTGCAAAATTTATGTTTTTTAGAATATCTGGTATTTATTTTGTACATTAAAAATAAATTAAAAATTAATATCAAATTATTACGGGGACAGCGGTAAACCGTGTCCTTCTCTACATAATTCGACCCTGTGTTACATAGGGACCAGGTTTAAAGATTGTTTGACGTTATAAATATTGCTGAGAGACAACGAATCTTTTCTGAACATTGGGAGTCTTTCAATAATTCTACTTCATATTAGATAAATTTAGCACTGACAGAAGTATCGGTCATCAGCATCTTCAACGACAAGCATTAGAATTAGTAACATTCAAAGTGAACAATTTCCAGTTGTCGAATTCAAAGTTGGAGACACAGCGGAGTTGCAGAATGGCTGTGTTGTACCACGACTTTAAAATCCTACCTTAAAATAATGTGGGAATGGGTAGGAGCTCACGTGGAGATCTCTCTGCCTATAAGAATAGGCGACCATACCTGAAGAATATACCGCTCCCGGTACGATCTCTTCCGAAGCTGCTGTGAAGAGCAGCAGGAAACGCCGACACGTATACTTTACTCATTTCTAAGTTTAGCAATGATATAAAACAAAGATTTTTGGTTTGTATTTGTTTCTACGAAATAAGGACTAGGCGAATATAAATGTCAAGAGCCCATAAAAAGTAATGAAAAACCTTGGATTGATTCGTATGATTCATATGCCTTTTGATAGCCATGTTTATTCCATCTCTATTGTACCATAGGTTTTACCAATATTTCCATAAAATGTTGAAGTTTCTGACGAAGGTCATTATTGTAAATTTTTGAATCGATTTTCCAGTTTTGTTTACAATTTCGGTTTGCATTACAGACCTTTTATATCCTCTTGATGGAACGAAATAACATTTTTTAAGTTTAGGTGGAAACAATTCATATAGAAATCTGAAAAATAGATATTTATACATACATACGTATATATTTTGCAATTTTTCGTAGATAAAAAATTCTCAGTAGAGTGTCAAAAAACTTTTTTTTTTAATTTTACAATTTGTCATTTTTCAGCAATCAAAATTTAAATTTACTTCAAGAACAAAATATTGCAAATTTTTCGAATTCAAAAATATCTACAAGAGAAACTTTTTGACATTTTGAATTTGAATCGATGATATTTTTACATTTTCATATCCTTAAAACTTTTCCATTTTTATTCCAAAAGCTAAAGAAACAAATAGAGAAATCATAGTAAAACGATGAAAACAAAATTTAAAAATCTTGACAATAAATCAGAATTTTATAGTCAAAACATGAACTTCTTGCTAATTCAAATAACAGGCACATACATACATACACAAATATGTACATACATATATATAATATATTGTATAAACAAAACTTATGTCTTATAAATGCTATAATATAAATATATATATGTGCATAAATATAGATTACATGCATCCTTTATACACAAACAAACATTTTTATTAGAGAAATAATGTAGAAAAAAATAATGAAATTCTTTGTTCTATCTGACCCATCAATAAGACTTGTAAATGGTCAATAAAATTTTTTTGAGTATGAAAGTGTCTTCAACAAAATTTACAGTTGTGGTAAAAAGTGAAAACCTAATGGTGAAAATTCTTAAATTTAAATTTTTGATTTACCTAATTTTTATAAATTTAAGAGCTGTAAATTTAAGAATTGCTTTGATAAATTAATAGTGTCTGCCACATTCCCATCTAATTTTAACTTAGGAATTTCAATTACCAATTAATGTTACTCACATTTTAGTTATTTTTACAGGTACAATTTATAAATTGCAAAATGGATAGAAGCAGCTTTTTTTGAATCATATAAACATAAAGCTTCCGAGGATCTAGAAGTATATACCCCGAATGATAAATATTTTACTGAGTTTTGTTTTAAAAACTTTTCAACAATAAAATAAATCAAAAGTTTGTGTAAATGTACTCAGCCTTAATTTTGCTAAAATGAAATTTTATAGAAAATAGAGTAGCTCCCTTTGTTCTGCAATATATACTCGTAGATAAGACTATATGCTCTATAAAAAAATGCCAATTATTTGTAACTTAATTAAATATTCAATTATAAATTAAACCAGTTGCACGCTATAATAAAATACAATAGAAATTGCAATAAAACACCAAACAATATTGTACAATTTTTGCAACGTGAACTAATACTGAGCTTTCATTGCACAGATTTATAACAGCTACCGTTAAAAAATTGTATGGACGAGATTTTTGAAAATTAAGCACGGCATGCATGCCTTTTACGATCGTTCTTTACTTATAACTGAGATTTATCTATAAGGTACAATTTGTGAATTTTGCAGTTTTGATTTATTGAACTTGCCTAATATTAAGATTATAATTGTGCTTAATATTAGAACTGCATTATCTAAAAAACCCTTTGGTTTGACAAAACGGTAAAAATGATCGTTATTCTATTCCCTCAAGCTAAGCCCTATAATAACAGGAAATGGGAAAATAGGGTGAGTACTAAGATTCAAGGTTCACAAGACATTCAAGTTAATATTAATCCAAGAGTTATTTCCTTTGAGAAGGTTTCAGATAATCTAATACAATTTTGTTCCTCACTGTATTTTCAAAGTAAATTATTGTGTAGCAATTTAATTATTCAAGAAAATCAATTTGATCATTGAACATATATGTATATGAAACAGAATGATGAAACTTTACAAGATACTCTGAAATTTGAATTTAAAATTCTTTGTTGTAATTTTGATTAGAAAACAAAAAACAAAGAACGAAAAATAAAATTGTTTTCTTAAAAAAAAAAAAAAACTTTTCACAAGTCTTTCAAAAATAACAAAGAAATTTTTGTTTTCTTATATGGACAATCAAAATATGAGTTGAGATAACAAAAATTTTTTAATAGAATCCCATAACAACAATAATGTAGAATTCATTATGCTAGTCCAGAAATTAAAAGGACCACACAAGACAAATCAACAAAAAAAAGGAAAAAAATTGTTTGCTTAGTTATAGACAATGTTTTTTTTTAAAAGACATTTTGCTCTTAAAGAAATGAAAACAAAAATCAATCAAGGTTGTTTTTATAAAAGTATAATAAAAGTTCATTAAAAATTAATTGTTAAATATTGTGAAAGAAATTTAATTTTCTATAAACACAAAGGTATTTTATTAATTGTGTTAACCGAATCAATAAGATATTGTTTCAGCTTTGAATACCTTTAGAAAAAGTACAAAAACCTTTTATTTAGTTAAGTTTTTCTACAGTAAATAAGAATTAGATTTTATAAAAACTTTTATAAAATTTATCTACAAACCTTTAGTAATAAATTTATTAATATAGTTACTTACCTACAATATTCAAATTAACTGAAAAAGCACGAACTGGCTGAGTTGATATTTGGCATTCATAGGCACCAGCATCACGTTTTTGCGCCCATTTTATTTGTAATGTCCATTCATCGATATCACGATGAAATGATGTTTGAAATCTTTGATCAGTTGTATACGTATATGTTCCAACTGTTAATATATGTAAATCTCTATGCCGAATCCATGCAACCTGAAGTGGAAATAAAGAAACCGATGTTTTTTCTTAGTTTAAATTTTAAATTATTGTTGTGAATAAATTGTAATCATAATTAGTATTTTTAAAAATATAGAATGATTTTCTTATACAGGTAGATTTTATAATAAACTCACTAAGACAGATTCCAACCTATGAAAGAAAAATGCACTGATCCTTTACATTCAGAAAAATACACTGATTTGGGCAGTTTATATGCGTATGGCATCATGGAATCCAAAATCTCTATTGAAAATTATCCAATTTCTTCCAAAATTAGATTACCTCGTGATATTATAAACAAAGATAATTTTCGGATAATGATGTAGATTTTTAACGTTTACGTTTTGGATATGGGATACATAAAATCGCAGATTTTTGGTAAAAATTCTCTTTAAACGCTCGACGCCTTTAACTCTAAGAATAATCATGTTATTTGTAGTATGAGCCAACAGAATTACAAAGAAACGACCCAAAATTTAAACATTAATTGAAACAAAGCACTTCTTAATTTTTAAATAACGGTTAAAATTAGCGAAAAATAGTAATTTTCTACGTCTTGTACAGTTTTTAAAACCTATGTATTAAAGAACGCTAAGTTTATGGACATTGATCAAAATTAATTTGGTGCATTGATCAAAATAATAGTCGCACAGTGCATTTAAGAACTTAATTTTTTAAACTTTGACGTGAAACGGCATCAAAAATAAAGGGTTTCTGTTTTGAAAAAAAACCATGTCCACATATCATTCAAAATTTCGTTCAGAATACTTTCGCTCTCCAAAATTGAAAATTGTTATGACTTTAGCTGGTAAGACAAATACTCACTATTTTTAGTTTAAATTTAATTGAATATTACAATTGATTAAATTATATGAATTGAATAATGAAACTGGAACTCAAATATTATAAAAATAGAACTTTGCCAAAAGATTAGTTACAAATTTCAACACTAACTGATTAGTCATAATCAAAATATTAGATTGAGTACCAACCATTATACCTAATGAAATATAAGTATTGTAGATTTGTATTAAATTTAAATAATAATTTTATATTTTAAAAACAAATAATTTATCAAATAAAATTTAGTCTGCGATATCGTAAATGATCTACGATATTCGCCATTTTTTTCTCTTTCCTATACGTAGATTTGTATATTTTAAAAAGAATTGAAGAGTGGAAACATTTTCAAAGATTTGGAGACTTATTGTAGCTGCATTACGCTTCAGCTAATGGAGTCACAATCAGTTTCCAAGTATAAATCTGGAACAATCTTTAACAAGCTCTATTATAACAACTGTAGTTAAGGGGAAAAACGTTACAGATTTCTCTCTGTAAAAATTTGCCTTCACCACAAATTTTACAACCAATCTTTTTCAATAGTTTTAATTTTCAGTAAAGATGACGATTTTTTGAAAAATATTTACAATTTTTCTTCAAAACTTTCTATATTCTTATATGAAATAAAATTATTTAAATACGCATTTTCTTAAATTTTCTATTTGAAATCTCAGACATTAATTTTAAAAGATCATTTTACAAAAATTTTTGCAATCAAAGTAGCTGCTTTTATAACACAAGAAAACGACTACCAAAACAACTTATAGCTATTTTATATGACGCGGAAAACGAGTATAAACTGAAATTTTGTTGATGATATAAGTATGCAGGTTAATTAAGGAAGTCAAAAGACATATTTGGTAAAAATAGCGTAAGTCTATAATAGGTACTGTACAATAGTCCGAACAGTACAAATATTATATTTCTCTTTACTGTGCGTTATAAAGTACAATATAAATACAACATGCCATTATTTTTTCATATCAGGCAAAATTCAGAGAATACGTAATACGTAGGATACATTATTCATAAACTCAGTTAAACTAATAGTTTTTGTCTTTCGAATGAATTTCTTAAGTGTTACAAAACAATTTTTATCCAGTTTTAACCTTCTCCTGGAAAATGTATATTTTTGACTTATACTCGTATTCCACGTTATCATTATTTAGTAAAGGTATAGGTACAATTGACTTCCGATTAATAGTAATACGTGCTTATAGAATATCGTAGGAAAATGAAAATTATCAATCCTGCAACAAGTTTATTAAAAAATTTTCATGCAACTGAACTGAATTTTCATGATAACCTGAACTTCATTCTCTTTGCATCTCATATAATACCTGCGAATTATTTACATAATTATGTAAATTATGTACATAAAAAAATGTAATAATTTCCCGTGTACATCGTTAAATTTTTACATTTAATTTTCATAAATTTTATTTTGCATTTTTTAAAAATATTTTGTTGTTATTGTGAGGTTTTTGAACTTTACATGCACTTTATGAATTGCACTCTAAAAATTTCATATTTTCATAATAGAAAATCTTTCTGATTATGAGCATGCACTACACATACAAATTCTATGAATGTCTATGTGTGTAAATTGTACAAGTTAATGGCATGTTCGCTCTTACACATTATTTAAATAGTTCAAAAAATAAAAATAAACTACTTATATTGTTTTGAGTTAAAGTTTTTTTTTTAAATTTTATTATGCGAAATTTTCATTTTACAAAATTTAAATTCTATTATAAACGCGAAGGAAATTAATATTATATAATTAGAACATTAACATTTTGTTTGCTTTTGAGAACTTTTATAAACTTTTTATGTGATTTTTAAAGAGCTTTAGTTTTTTTTTTCATTATTTTGCATTTTCAGGTTCTTGTTCTTTTCGCATTTTAATTAAAACGTAGGTACATCAGGTGTAAAATTGTTTGAATTAAGTGTTTTTTGTTTTTTTATAATTTCCCAACTGTAAAACAACAAGAAAAACGGGATAAAACTTTTAAGCTTTAAAGTAAAATTCTAATTTTTTTTTTTTTTGAATTTTAAAGGTGATGTTAATAAAAAATAAATTTATAATGGAAAAATAAATTTTATTCTTATTCACATTTATAATCAAAGTAAGTTCTAAATAAAATAGAATTTAACCCTTTAAGGCTTAGTAGTATATCTAGGTGGTTTTTAATATAAATACTTAGATGGGCTTTAGCATAATACCAAAACAATAAGCAAGGAGGAGTTATAGCATACAATTGAAAATGAAAATTATGTTATTTCTTTTAGTAAAAATTTGTGTAGTTGAGGTAGTGTTCATTAGAATTAATTTAAGCGCATTTAATACTTGAATGTATGAGAAAAAAAAAACAATTTCTTAGAATTGAGCATAGAGTGAGCATATAACTCAAAAACTGAGCAATGTGAGTATAGACCCCAAAATTAGTTAAAGCGAAAATTATGTGAAAATTTTAAAAAATAGTCCTTTTACAACTCCAAATTTTAATATGCTTACTTTTAACAAACTTCTTTAATTTTCATTCAGTTCAAAATAATACTATCCATAACTAGTGAGGTAAATCGATGAAAATAGCGGTAAAATTAAAATGATTTCTTTCGAAATGTAGGTGAGTCAAAATAAGTTTGGTTTGGTTTGGCAATTTTTCGACACTGAAATATGCACTTATCTCAGTGTTCAGTCAATATGCGCACATCTCGAGCTTTTGTATTATACAACTTCTTGAGTTATTAGGCCTCATATTTTGAATTCTGAAAATCGTCTAATTTAACGTTTTTATTTATATCTTTATATACTAATTTTTGAAATGAAAATCTTTCGAAATTCTTCTTTTAGCAATGTATCTAACAGTGGTGCTAAAACACTTTTTTAGTTTCAGAGTATAAAGTAGACTTTATTTAAGTATAAAGTTAATATTTAAGAGAAAAATCATGTTTTAATTAAAAACAAAGGTGTTTTTTATTCGTTTGGACGCATTCCATCACATTGCTTCGGCGGTATCATTGGTTCTGGAATCGGCGGGAAAAATATATATTTTAAATGACATATGTCCAATCATATAAAAGTGTTAATGATTATTTTAACTTTCGATCTTTCCCTAAAAGTATGCAATAAAAATAAATTTTATGATGCTCTTATAAATATTAGGAAAATGTAAAATGAACAGAATAGCTGTTTTTCTTTTGCAAAATTTTTTCATACGGAAACGCGATACTTCTCAAATCTCAAACCTCACTATAGAGTTGCGCGAAAAGCTATGAAAATGTTAACAAATTTCGTATAAATCTTTATTGATGCATAAAAACTTTTTAAAAAAAGCTTAAATCAAATTTAATGAATTTGAAATTAAGAGTTTAACCAATAATATTGTTAGGAAAATACCAACAAAAAGAGAGGTTTTCCATATTGGACAATAGTAAGACGTTACCAACAATAAAATTGTATCAAAACTTAGGGTTGTTCTTCCATTTTTTGAATTTGTTTAAGAGTTCAGGTTTCCTCCCTTCTGGCCCGTTTTGAACTTTATACATGAAATCATTTTCTTGTTTACTGAAACCAACAAAAGAACTACAGAGATTTATACGAAAGTTGCTTCGACCTTAAAAAGCATTGATTATAATTATTTTGAAATAACTTTCACCTAATCAATAAAATTTAATGAATGCATTGACTTAAAATATTATACAATATTTCAATTATTGAAATAGTTCTGTCATAACTAGAATTAGTTATATAAATTAAAAAATATTTACAATTCTTTCATATCTGCAATAAAACATTTCGCTACTACATTCATTTAAAAAATTACTTTATAAAATTATAGTTTCAATTTCATGTCTAACTTAGCGCTATATGACAATTAAAAAATTAGATTCATTGTAAAGATAATCATTAATAATGGAACATAATTACATTTTACACTTTCATGTTAAATAACAGTAAGAAATTAACATTTTATTTAAATAATTTTTACTTGTACATTATAACTTGATGATTATCTGTATATGGTATAATACAAACCTGATTGAGGTTGTACAACATCATATCAAGGACTTGTTGTTTTTTCATTTTCATTTTAATAACATATTAGTAATTAAATATCTTACTAAACTAAAAATGTATAGCGCATTTA